ATGCCTTTCTAGAAAGGATGTGCCAGAATACTAGTCTGTTGGCGTTTGTATAAGTCTCTTTAGACCTCAGACACTTTGCATTAAATAGAAGAATTCTTTTTTCTTTAGAAATAGGGTTTTGTCTTGTTTGAAAAAGATTTTTTTCCCAGTTCTTCAAATTAAGATTGATGCAGTTGGCATTCCTTTCTTTCACTTTTCAGTCTTTAACGGTACTTTTTGTTTGTTGGTGATGTTCGGGATTTTGGTTAGATTTGGTAGATGCTAAAGTCTGACCAGATTGTGTGAGGTATTGCTATTCTCAGGCAAGGAGGGCGTCTAGTATGTATTATGTCCTATAGGTAGTCAACCCACTGTTTTGTTTGCATTGAAGGATGTCACAAGGAAAGCTCAAGTATTCATGGACATGGTAAATAGTGCCAATGTGACTGCAGATCTTATTGACTGATAGGTTTCAAAAAAAAAAATCTCCTAGCATGAAAAAACATCTTTAAAGCTGCTTGTCTTCCCTATTTTTCTCAGTTTCTATTTGTTTAGAAGGTATTTAAAAACTTTCCCTCTCAGATCTGGCCTAGTGTACTTTTTAAACTAAGGTGCAACCTATTTGATAAGGTTAGGGACCAAGCAGAGTTATCTTTTTATCATATCTTAGGCATCTAATGGACTAATATGAAATTTTCCATTAACTCAAAGTTTTAAAATTGAGGCACAATTTTTAACCTATTTATGTCTAAGCATTTAAATTAATTAAACAGAAAGTCAATAAGGAAGGTGATTTTTTTTTCAGTCCTGTAAATTGAAAAGCACATCCTTTGTTCTGCTAGATCATTATTTGGAAAATAAAAGGCTGATACAAGTAATCTTTCTCTATTTAAAGAATAAAAAATTTTCCAAATATAAAATGCTTGAGGAGGAAACTAATAATCTTTAAAACCCCTATTGGAAACTTTTCTATTGGAAAAGTTTGTGAAGACTAACTCCTTTACTTAGTATTGCTACTTAAAATCTTTCGTTTTTCTGTTTGAAACTTGTAGTCAGCAATATTGTGGTTAATTGATTAATTCAGGTTAAGCTTTCCATGATTGTTATATTTTCCTTTTACTATTGAAATATATAGAAAAGGAATCAATATTTTTCAAGATACTGAAATTTTTGAGACAGATACATCTAGTCAGTGTAGGTGAAGATAAGTCATTCTTGGGGCTTCCCTGGTGGCGCAGTGGTTGAGAATCTGCCTGCCAATGCAGGGGACACGGGTTCGAGCCCTGGTCTGGGAAGATCCCACATGTCGCGGAGCAACTAGCCCCGTGAGCCACAACTACTGAGCCTGCGCGTCTGGAGCTTGTGCTCCGCAACAAGAGAGGCCGCGACAGTGAGAGGCCTGCGCACCGCGATGAAGAGTGGTCCCCGCTTGCCGCAACTAGAGAAGGCCCTCGCACAGAAACGAAGACCCAACACAGCCAAAAATAAATAAATAAATATTTTAAAAAAGATAAGTCATTCTTCAGAAGAGCCTTTGCACTGCTTGAATGCAGTTTGTTTTGTATTATTAAAGAAATAATAATCACCTTAGTCATTTAGAACAACAGTAACAACAAAATTGAAATTGAGTTTCAAAAGTTGTTTTAAACTATCCTTTCGTGGTTGACTCAGAAGTATCTCCTTGGGAACTAAGGCAGCAGAGGGTTCTAGTTTTTTTCTTTCAAATGGCTTTGCCAAGCATTTTTGCTAGTACTCACCCTGTGCTAGACTGTGGGCTTGAGATGTTAATATAGGCCTTTACCCTAAAGTAAGGTTTGTTTCTGAGAAATAGAAGAAAAGAAACCAACCAACCCCTTTAGAAACAGCATGTTTTGCCTTTCTTTGTAAAGTCCCTAAGCAGTTTTTTTTTTTTTTTTTGCGGTACGTGGGCCTCTTACTGCTGTGGCCTCTCCCGTTGTGGAGCACAGGCTCCGGACGCGCAGGCTCAGCGGCCATGGCTCACGGGCCTAGCCGCTCCGCGGCATATGGGATCTTCCCGGACCGGGGCACGAACCCGTGTCCCCTGCATCGGCAGGCGGACTCTCAACCACTGCGCCACCAGGGAAGCCCCCCTAAGCAGTTTTGACCTGCTTTTGATGTATTTATTTGAATGGTTATTCAAACAGTATTAATGATCTGCTAAAATGTTAGGCTCTGAGCTAGATTCTCAGTATGTTTACAAAGAGTTTGTGATAACATAGGAAAAATGCCCATTATGATGATAGTTAAAAAACAAAAGGATGCAAAATTATATATGCAGTTTGGTTACAAAAGTATATTTAGAGAAAAGACTGGAAGTAAATAAGTCAAAATATTATTAGGATTCCCCTCCTTTTTAACTTTTTTTTTTTTTGGTGGTACGCGGGCCTCTCACTGCTGCGGCCTCTCCCGTTGCGGAGCACAGGCTCCGGATGCGCAGGCCCAGCGGCCATGGCTCATGGGCCCAGACGCTCCGCGGCATGTGGGATCTTCCTGGACCGGGGCATGAACCCGTGTCCCCTCCATTGGCAGGCGGACATTCCCCCCGTGGGCCCCCCGGGAAGCCCCTTTTTTTCCCATTTTTTTTTTTTTTTTTTTTGCGGTACGCAGGCCTCTCACCGGCGTGGCCTCTCCCGTCGCGGAGCACAGGCTCCGGACGCGTAGGCCCAGCGGCCATGGCGCACGGGCCCAGCCGCTCCGCGGCATGTGGGATCCTCCCAGACCGGGGCACGAACCCACGTCCCCTGCATCGTTAGGCGGACTCTCAACCACTGCGCCACCAGGGAAGCCCTAAACTTTTTGATGCCTATTTATTATAGAAAATTTGGACACAGGGATGCATGTGTATATATTTTAATCCCCCTCCCCACCATGTACAACTCTCAGTTGCCATATGTATTGCTAAGATTGGAGATTTAATTGAGTGTAGCTTTTTACCTCAAAGACAGTGGCTTAACAATGAAAATTATTAAATAAACTGTCATCCAAGTGTATCTATGAATTTAAAAGCTTGTAGCAATAAAACTGTGCTGGGAGAGATTTTTTAAGAAAAGGAATTTAAGACACAACTTCTGCCTTGCAGGACCTTATGATCTGGAAAAGGAGAGTGTATAAATTGTAACAGACATAATCTGTAAAGGAGTCAAAATGACATTACTGGGCAGGATGCGATTAAATGCCAAAATTTGCACCTTGTACTACTGGAGTTCAGATTAAAGGAGATTCATCTGAAGACCCAGTGGTAGAAGTGGAACTTTAAATGCATCTTTAATAATAGGTAGTACCTGGCGGGGAATAAAATATACAGAGTAAGTGTAGATTTAACTTTAAATACTTTATCCCCACCTGACTAATGCACTTTTTTTTTTTTTTTTTTTTTGCAGTACATGTGCCTCTCACTGCTGTGGCCTCTCCCGTTGCGGAGCTCAGGCTCCGGACGCGCAGGCTCAGCGGCCATGGCTCATGGGCCCAGCCGCTCCGCGGCATGTGGGATCTTCCCAGACCGGGGCACGAACCCGTGTCCCCTGTGCCACCAGGGAAGCCCCTGACTAATGCATTTTTTTCAAAGGATTGTTCAGTATTCAATTTCTTTCTTATAGAAAAAACCCACAACCACAATTACAAAAAACAAAATTGCTGTTGTAAAAAATTGCTGAACTGGGCAGAGGGCAGTAGAAGAGGGGGCATTCTGGTCTGAGGGGAGAAGAGCAACTTGAAGTTGGGAATAAGCAAGATATAAAGGAGAGCCTTGCTTTGAACATGGGAATATTTAGGATCCTTTTGCGAGCTTGGCTGCCTTTCCTTGGGTGTTATTAAAGAAATTAAACTGCATAGATTTGAGTCTTTTATATTAAGATATTGATCTATTAATCCCTTGGGTAGCAGGTATCTTTAACCTTTCAATACACAATATAATTTTTTACTTAGTTTGAAAATATTTATTGAATAGAGAACTCTGAGCTTTCTAAAAGATGACTTGATTTTTTTTTTTGATAGACCTCATTTAAAACAATGCTTCTTTAAAAACTACTTTACATCCGAAGAATATAACTTAGCAATACTCAAGAATATTTTCCACCTTAGACTTTTTGGAGGAGGGTCATACATGTCCAGGTATATGAATGTGCTCCAGTTTTTAATGTCTGCCTTGTAAAATAAATTTAAATGGAGTTTAAATTTATTTAAACTTACACTGGAAAACTTAGGAAAAGCCGTTTCAAAAATACATGAATCCCTTTCATCATTTTAAAAGAATAGATTTCTTTTAGAAGTAAGCAATTTATTTTGTATTGAATGCCTAGCCTTTCTTAAGCAAAAATAGATTTGAAACAGTGTGTAGTAAGTAGTCTTAAAAATGGAGCATATATTCCTGAATTTGGAGTAGGTTTAGAACTGAATGCACATATCAGTTCTTTTACGAATAAAGGTTAAAATGGGTGAGGATCAAATGTGAGAGTATTTAAACGATTCCCAAGATTTTCTGGCTCATGTGTAGTGATACTGAACTCTTTAGTCCTGGGCTTTAATTTGTGCCTGGTGCTGACCTGATGCTGTGCAGGGACACTCACTGCATCCCTTCATTCAGTTTCTCTAATTATCCCCACTTCCTGGGGAGCTTGCTTAGAACTGGGCATGAGTGCTTGTTATGAAAATATTGGGCTACCCTGGCTACATGTAACAGAGTAGTTTTTGATATAAGGTTTACGTATAGATGAACTGAATAGGAGGCTAAAGTTGTTTGCTGTGATTTTACTTAATCAAATTTGTATGAATATTATGGAAATTATCTGGTTAGTGGATTAGGCTTGTAATTAATGAAATCATGGTTAATATAGCTCCTGAGCTTATTTGTTACATTGTAATTTCTTAGTGCATATTCAGAGAGAGATCTGACTACATAAATGATATGGGAAACACTCAGATTTGCAATTTGTGTATACTTGCAGATGAAGATAGTTCTTTTTGCTGGGAGGATCTGTTAATGCAGAGATTTGTCTCTTCAGGTTCACGTGAAAATGGCGGATGAGGCGGTCTGTGTTGGCCCAGCTCCCACCAGTAAAAGCTACCTCAACATGGATGCCATCATGGAAGCCATTAAGAAAACCGGGGCCCAAGCTGTGAGTCTGAATGAATCTGTCTGCTGCAGCTGTTTCATATGTAGTGAGCAGAACACTAGAGTTTGTATTTTAAAAAAAATAAGAAAGAATGATTGAAAATGCTGTTGCAGTTCATGTCACATGAGTTAAATGTGGCCGAATTCGCTACTGGAAATCAGAGGCTTTGTAGCATCTGACAGTGTTGGTTACTGATCCTGCAGGTGGCTGCTGGATTCAGCTTTCACACCAGGGAGCAGTTTCAGTTCATTTCCAGATTTGCTAGGGGGAAAAAAAAAAAAAGAAATCCCAATTAATTTTGAGAATTAACCCTTTTAGTGTTATAAGAGTATTAAAAAAATATGTATTACAAACAGGATCCAAAAGACCCTGTTTTAATCATTTAAAAATTATGTATGCCATGTTATACTTCCAGAAATAAAAATGATGCAATTGGTAATTATTTTAGTTTGATAGTGTCAATGGAATATACATAATTTACATGGAGAAATCAGTAATTCTCCCCACCCCCAATTCTGTTTGGAGTGGAATCCAATGAAAAAACTGGGTTCTGACATCAGGAATAGTGTTTTGTTATAGTTGTTGTTGTTGTTGTTGTGTGTGTGTGTGTGTATGTGTATGTTTTTATCAGAGAACTAATTACATGTAATATTAAAAAAAACTACGTAGAGTTATCTCTAAAATTGGATGGAAGCAGCCAACACCAGCAGTTAGCCTGGAGTGCTTCAGTTAGTGTTCACATTTCTTTTGAAAGAAATGTTATAGTAAGATGCATGTTTAAATAAAAAACTGAATTCATGAACCCATATTATGTTACAGTTTACTAGCAGAGTTAATGCAGGTAAAACTCTTTTAACTATAGATTATCAGAATACAATCTTTAGTTGAATGTTTATATGAAATGAAACTGTTGGAGTGAAACTCTTTTCCTGTGATGTAGTAGTGTAAATTATTCTGTACCATGTTCATAAAGCTTAGTCTAGCATTTAAAAAAATCTTAAATGTGTAGATACTTCTAGATTAGATTATGATACTGACTCATTTAGAAATTTGACTTATAGCAGAATTATTTTCCTAGAAATATATTCAATACTGACTGATAATAGGGTGGCTAAATTTATGTTTGGTCAAAAGTTACTTGGTTAGAACAGGATGGTAGGATTTAAATTGTTGCAACGTGGCTTGTGAGAGAGGAGAGGGTGAAGTGGTTGTGACTGGCTGAGTGGGATGAGGAGGGAAAGAAGAGTAGATATTAGAAGAAAAATAAATTCAGAGAATGATGAAAAGGTAAAACCAAACTTCGATTTTAGTTAGGTTTGACAAAAACTGTTCATTGGGTAGTGGCTGAATATATTAATATTGTCAGGAATAAAATATGTTCATTGGCTTAGTAGCCAGGGTTTGGGAAAGTAGCAGTTCCTCGTTCTGTAAAGAAAGGGGAAATAAGAGTTTTTCATCCATCTTGTGAAAGGTTTCCTTTAACATAATTCTTTGACCCACTAGCTGTTAGAAAATTCTCCAGACTTGTGGCCAAAGTTAGTCTCAGAAAAAGTGGGGAGAGTTTGGGTTGGGTTGAATTGCATAGCCAAGTGCAGGTGTGATGGGAGACGGCCCCGACTGTGGTTAAGACAGGTAGCGTGCTACAAGTGAGTATAAAGTAGGCGATTTCTTGGCGTTTGGGTCCGAACTCAGGAGAACTGAGTTAGAGCTGATCAGTATGTTAGAGTCAGTAACCTTACTCCAGGGCCCTTGAACAATAAACATGTTAATGCTCTTTCTGTTGTGCTTACTGTAAGGGTTTTGCAAATTGGTAAAACTGAAAGTGCTTTTTGTTTTCATTTCTAAGGTACATCCAGGTTATGGATTTCTTTCAGAAAATAAAGAATTTGCCAAATGTTTGGTAAGTTTGTAAGGAACCAGAAACTGTTAACTTATATTTCAGAAAGCAGCGTAACGGTGTTGCTTTTGTAAATATGGGTAGTGATGAGTTATAGACCTTTCATTGACCCAACGATTCTTTGAAAATAGTTTGGGAAAAGTGAAGACTTTTATTCTGTAACCTAAGTCTTGATTTGAAGTGTGAAAATGGAAAAGTTGTAAAATCACCATTACACCTAATGAATGATACCTAGTTTATAACATGGGTGGACTTTGACTTTTAAAATTAAACATTTCAGACTTTTAGCCAAATACATCAGGGAGTCCAGTGATTCATTAATTATTTACCATGAGCATAGAATGTGAAGCCAGAAGTAAGATTCTGTTTTTTCCCTTTTATTGCATATTATGGCATTTAATATCAAATCTTACTACTGCCTTTATTTTGGGAAATTTTTTTCTTTTTTTTATGACAGGAGTATCCTCCTGATATCACCATCCTGACTAGGTGCATGACCCTATATTTGCTATTAAACTGATTTTCCAGGTGTATTTATAACTACATTCAAGATGGTACTGAAACCTTAGTTTTCAGGTACTAAAATATGATATTGATAATGTTTTGAAAAGCTCATTAGATCAATTATCTCAGGTATTAAGTTAACTTAATATTTTAATATATTATACTTTGTTTCTGTGATATGCTTATATTTTGTTCTTCCATGTATTCAGAATTATTTATGAATGCAATTACCATTTTCAAGATGAAATTTTCACTTAAAATTCATAAATTTAATTTGGACAATTCTTAAGATCATAGAATTCTAGCCCAGAATGATCTGTTTTAACAAATTTACTTTATAGATTAAAAACTAAGGCCTATAGATTAAACTAAGGCCTAAAGAAGTTGTGACGTAAAGTCACGCAGGTGGATGATAGTAACACATGTCTGGAGAGGTGTATTAGGTGTAAGTATCCAAAGGTCCAGGTTTACCAGGTTTTGTGCAGTATATCCACATTTTCCTGTTTATACCCCTTTTTATTATCTTCTAGTTTGAAATTTTGGCTGAGGTTCTGTCATTATGTAAGAAAATGATTTGAATATAATACATTTTAAATGTATTTGTACAATATAATATATTTAAGTTTGTATAGGTGAGGAGTCTGTAAACTGTGGTCCACGGGCCAAATGCAGCTGCTGCCTGTTTTTGTAAATTAAGTTTTATTGGCACACAGCCCTGCTTGTTCACTTACCTCTTGTCTGTGGCTGCTTTTGCTCTAGAACAGCAGAGTTGCATAGCTATAGCAGAGACCGAATGGCCTGTAAATAAATATTCACTGTATGGCCCCTTATAGAAAAAGTTTGCCGGCTCCTGGTATAGATGAATATCTGAGTCCCGGAGAAGTGAAATTATATGGCAAGTATATTTATTCATGCATTTATTCAGTCATTAAAAAGGGCTTATTTGATAGCTATGTTCAAGGCATTTGAGAAGGATATAAAAATGAATTGGATGTGCCGCCTGCTCATGAGGAGCTCACAGTCATGTTGTGGAAAATAAGTCAGCTGCACAAATGACTTCAGGGAAAAAAATATTATGAAGAAGTTCAAATTCTCCGTAAATGAAGATAAGATTATGCCGTCAGGGGTTTCATGTTAGAGAAAAGGGTATAAAATGTATGACTACCTTCTTTTCTTATTTGCTTTTCTAATTTTATCTCCTCCATTTCCCTTTATCAATGCTATGCCTTAGGCAAACCAGACAGCATGCTATTCCCAAATGTGGCTGGTTCTCTCCTGCTCTGTCTTTTCCATCACTCTCCTCAGTCCCCTGGTCCCACATTTCTTACTACTGTCTATTCTTAAAAGCATAGTTCATGTTACCCCTACCAGGCTAGTTTTCCGTGTTCTTCTGGTGAGAAGTAATCTCTTTCCTCTGTCTTCTAGAGCATTTAATTTTTTTTTTTTCCTTATCTGGCATACCACCTTCCATATTATGTAAAAATTGTTTCTGTATTTTAATGTCCTCTTAAGGTAAGAGACTTGGTCTTCTCATTCTTTGTTTCCCTTTTGTTTTATATTCTAATGATTTCTACGTAGTGAGTTCAATGAATGTTATGGAAAGATTAAGTAAATATTATTAGATTAAGAATTATGGAACAATAACCTGCAAGAAAACTTTCCTCCTGTCACAGAAGGGACTGTTTTGTAACTAGAAAGCGGTATTGCCATGTGTTTTTATTCACCATGAAAATATGTAGCTGGTGATAACTAACCTCTCTTTTTGTGCATCATGGCAACATTCTTATTTGGGATATAATTTTCCTAGCTTAAAAACTTTTCCCATTGGAGTATGCCATTTAAAATGGACCTTTTGAAATATCTGGCTATAGCTGGTGAATTCCATAAAAATAACAGTGAAATAAAATTGCATACAGATTTTGTTATGCATATCAACATTGTTTGTGTGGTTGGTGACGAACCATTGAAAATTGATAGTTATTGTCTCAAACTGGGAATATTCTTAGAATCTGATTTCTAAGATAGTGGTAATAGATTACTATGTAGGCAGCAACTTTTGGCAAGAAAGATGAGCAGAATATGGAAAAGAAATCTTTTTTAAAGTTTGGCTGTCATTGGGTCTTCGTTGCTGCGCTCGGTCTTTCTCTAGTTGCGGTGAGTGGGGTCTACTCTTCCTTGCGGTGCATGGCCTCTAGGCGTGCGGGCTTCAATAGTTGTGGCTCGCGGGCTCTAGAGCGCAGCCTCTGTAGTTGTGGCGCACGGGCTTAGTTACTCCGCGGCTTGTGGGATCTTCCCGGACCAGGGTTCCAACTCATGTCCCCTGCATTGGCAGGCGGGTTCTTAACCACTGTGCCACCAGGGAAATCTGGAAAAGAAATTTTTAAAGTTTAATACTGTCGAGTTCCTTTTACTATAACTTATGTATGCTGTAACTTATGTTTGAAATGTAATCAAATGTGGAGGTTCCCCCCCCCATTAATTTCTGGTTCTGTTTTTTGTTTCTTTTTCTTTAAATTGCTGTTCAAAGATCAGCATAATATTTATCTTTATAGAAAAACTATTTGTGCCTTATCATCTGGTATATTGTTTTTAATTAACAGCTTTGAATAAGATGATTTTTTGAATTTTTTTTCTGAGTTTGTGCTATTTATTTGCTTTAGAAAGTACCATAAGCCAATTGTTAAAAGCATTCTAAACTTTGTATGCTTTCTTTACAAGACTAATTATTCTTTTTTTTTTTTGTGGTACATGGGCCTCTCCTGCTGTGGAGCACAGGCTCCGGACGCGCAGGCTCAGCGGCCATGGCCCACAGGCCCAGCCGCTCCGCGGCATGTGGGATATTCCCCGACCAGGGCACGAACCCGTGTCCCCTGAATTGGCAGGCGGACTCTCAACCACTGCACCACCAGGGAAGCCCAAGACGAATTATTCTTTACGCTTAATTTACACGAAATGGGATCAGATTATATAGAATCCCTACTGTACATGATTTAAACAAAATCATGTCTTTGCTTAAACAATTAATGGAAAGTTCAAAGCTACAAATAATCCTTATAAAGATTAGTAATTTTCAGTAATTTTAATATGCTGAGCACACATTTTATTTCCAAAATGTTTTTCATTCTGTATTTCCCCTCTGGGCTCCTTGTATTCTGAGCAGTAAAGGAACAGTGGTGGAAGGCTGTGAGGACTGTTAGAGTTAAGAAATTCTTTTGGAGTTTACAAAAGGGGGTTGAAAAGTTAAACTATCTGCCCCTGGAAAAAGTGGTTTAAAGATTAGATGAGATTTAAAGAGATTTCATAGTGTTTCTAGTTTTCTTTCTGGTTTTTATGTGTATGTTTTTTCATGTTATCATATCATATTTTAATGCAGCACAGCATTATAAGTTACAGTAGTTACCTTTATGAGAAATTTATGTTAGATTTAATAATTTGTGTTTCATGTATGGGTCTTATCCATTTATTTAGAAGATATGTGTATATATGCATACAGATAGTGTTTTCTATCCAGAATGCTCAGCATTGAGGGTGGAGAAGGGAACTGTGGGAAGCAGTTGAGGTTTGATGATTGTATTTTTTTATCACCTTTTGTTGGAGACTTTTTAGCAAGGTAAGGAATGTAACTACTTCAAAAACAATAATGAGATTTTTTTTATCCATTGGATTAACCAAACTTTTAAAAAATAGCTGTAACATCCAGTGTAGACAAGTGTACAGGAAGTGTCTTGTTCTTGGGAGTATAAATTATTTCAGCCGCCTTCTATCTTTTTTTTTGTTCCAGAAATTTGCTGGTATTACCAAAATTTAAAACGTATATATTCTTTGACTCAACATTTCCACTCTTAAGAATTTCACCTACAAAGATGTACTTTAAAAATGTTCATTGTAAGGTTCATAATAGCGAAATTGGGAAATAGCTCAAGTTTTTTCATCTTTAAAATGAAGAGAATGACACCTACCCTGTAGGGTTGTTGTGAAAGTTAGAAACAACATGTATAAAGAACTTAGCACAGAATCTGGCATTGATAAGATAAGGCAAATCACCTTATCATTACAGGTGTTAGTTAATAATTATTACTTCAGTAGATGGGGAGAGCTACTGAATACTTTTTTTTTTTCTTTTTTTGAGAATGAGATAGTTAAAATTAGCATTTTGGGGAAATTAATCTGATAGTTTTAATGTGTATTTTGTGAGTTTCGATTTTTTTTCTTGTTGAGATTAATAATCTGATAATATTATATTCCTATACACACATGCATGATAATGTAGTTTACAAAATACTTTGACATATATGATTTCATTTAATTCATGCAACCATTTAACAAAAAGAAAACTGAGACTCAGGTGCAGTGACTTGCCAACAGTCACACTATATTGGTAAGTAATAGAATCAGGACTTGACCTAGGTTGGCTGACCATAAGTACAGAGCACTTAAAAAAAATACTGTACCCTGGTTTGCTTAGTTGGAAAGAGTGAGAAACCAAACAGTGAAAACCA